CCTTCCTCCTCGGGGATGCGTGGGGCAGGCGGTGCTTCCTTCCCCAGCAGCATCGCGATGCTCACTGGGCAGAGATCTGCAATGCACGAACCCTGCCAGGGGATGCCACTGCCACATCGGCAAAAGCCCAGGGAAGAGAGAAGGGGAAGGGCAGCAGGGCCTGCGGGCAGGCAGGGTCGGCTCCTTCCCACCCAAGCAGCCTCCGTGTCTCATTCACAGATTCGCTGTCCCTTAGTCACTGCCCTTCAAACGACAGCGGAGCCCTGCTTCCTCCGTGCAGAGCCACGTATGAGCCGCATCCTAATGGCATCCCGGTGACAGCCCAGGTGCATCCTGCCTGCTGCCAGCACAGGAAAACCCCGCGGGCATCGCCGCCACGGAGCCCCGCTGCCTTTGGGGCTTCACGCCCTGCCAAGAGCTCCCGCACCAGGCGCAGTGCCTCGGGGTGCCACAGCGCATCGGGGCTGCACGAGGCAGCGTAACACTGCCAGGTCCCCTCGTCTGCAGCGACAGCACGTCCTGCTGCCTGTCACACAGCCCCAGCATGAGGTGGCCCCGCTCCAGCCCAGCAGCTCGCCAGCACGCAGCCTGCCGGCACGGGGCACGTTCTGCTGAGCTCACCGCCCGCTGCCCGCAGCCCAGCAGCAGCTCACACGCCGGATGCTCTCCAAAGCCATCGCCTCCAGCTGCCGGAGGCTCGGGGAGCTGCTCCAGCCTCGCCCCTCATGTCCTGCTTGGAGGCGCAGGGCTGCTCGGCACCACGGCACGCGCCTGCAGCACGCAGGCACTGGAGCAGCGCTGGCACCTGCGTCACTTGTAGCTGCCCGGTGACAGCCGATGCAGACGGAGCTCTCACCCTCCCATGCACCATTTGCTAACCCGGCTGTCGCTGCACAAAGTCTGGCTGCGGTCAGAAACTTGGATCGGTTTTCTTTCCTTTTTCCTTTCTGCCCTGTGGGATCCACCAACAAAATGCCCCCTTTGCACGACACGACAGCCCATTCATTTTCTGCCTCTCCCGTTTTACTTGCAGAAGTCCCTGCCCATCTCTGATGTGAGTTTTCAAAGGTCTTGCATGAGGTGCATGAACCGTGCCTCGGTTGCTGCAACTGCACACCAACTGCTCGCCAACTGCACGCTCCTTTGGTTCAGATTCCTTCTTTTTAATCACATCGTGGTGCAGGGCTGAAAGAGATTACCTCTGTTTATAGGGGATGGGCGTGCAGGGCTGCGCTGCATGCTCGGCTAAGCCCGCACATATGGCCTCTGCTAAAATTGCCAATTTAAGTACTGCACTGATCCACTGCTTATTTGGGATTCTTTTTTTTGTTCACTTCATGAAATGTGAGTAATGCCGTCACCAGCAAAGAGCAGTTCTGGGGAAGAGACACCACTTTTCCTTTTGTTTTCAGCTCCCCAGGGTCATGGCTGTCAGCACACCTCTCAGGGCACCTCAGACCCCTCCTGCTGCAGGTGGCTGCTGCAGCCCCTGCTCCCATCCCTCCACTCTGACCCCCCGTGCCAGAGCAAGAAAATAGCAAGAAGTGCAGCTGAGCCAGGCCATCCCCACGCCGTGTCCTGGCTGAGGAGACCAAACTCCATCTCTCATTGCACTGCCTGAAAACCTTGGAGGGGAGAGGGGGATTGTTAAAGCTGTGTCCTGCTCCCTAGCAGATAATGAGGAAATTATGGGGACAGAGCCAGGGCTGCAGGGTGATGCAGTGCCAGCCCCGCACTCAGAGGAGCCCTGCTAATCTAATCTGCCTTGAGATGCTACAGGTCCTGCCCAGGCGGCTGCCCGGCATCGCCCAGCAGCTCCCGCCTGTCAGGCTTTCTCCCTCTGCAGCTTTGTTTCTCGCAGCTTAACGAGTCCCTAGTTCGCCAGGCTCCATCCCATAGATCTTTATTTGCCCTAACGAGGGTGGGGATGCGTGCTTTTCGGAGTGCTCTCCGGGCGGCGATTGGCTGCGTCGGGCAGCACACGCGCAGTGCCACCGCCTTTAAAGCAACAAACATCTCATTTCACGGCAGCTCAGCGAGAGGCAGAGCTGCATTCTGTCTATCCAGAAAGACAAGAAAACAAGGGGAAAAAAATCAGCCTGAAGGATCCCACGGGACGGCGGCTCAAAGCAGCAGGGGATTTCCCCTGCACTGCATCCTGCAAAGATGGAGCGGATCGCTCGCGTGCGCAAAGGCTCCCGGTGCCCCGGGCGTCTCCAGGGGGATGCGGCCACAGCACCCACCGTGCTTGTGGGTCTCCAGCTGCCAGAGCCCTTCTGAGCACAGCCACCGTGTGCGCAGAGCCCCTCCTGCCCCACAGCCACAAAGGGTACGAGACAAGCAGGAGGAGGGCAGCAGAACTGACACGCTCACCCAAAACACGGGGAGCCTCCAGGTGTCTGAGCGGCACCCACACTTCAGTTAAAGCAGCACAGCCCACGTCCCCACGCTGGTTCACTGTCTCCCAGTTCCCCAGTGCTGCTCTCTGAGCTGTGCTGCTCCCTGGGGACATCACTGCTGGGGAGGACTTGGCCCTGCAGCGGGACAGCGGCTGAGGGGCGCACAGGTGAGCAGGATGGAGCTGCTGGCATCCCATCTTCCAGCCCCTGCTGTGGAGCAGGAAGGTATGAATGGAGGCAGGGTCAGATTGTTGGCCACCTCCCTGTAATATTTTTCTCCTCTCACTTTTTGCTGTCACTGACCCGTGCATTCTGCCACCACTGGGCAGCAGCTCTCTGCTGTTGCTGCACGCAGGCATTCACTCCAGCAGCACACGGCCAAAAGCAGCATCAGAAAACGCAATATTATTCAGTGCTTGGGAAGGGGTTGCAAAGCCTGGCTGTTTCAAAGTCCCGCCAGGCAGTGCTGCCAGCCCAGCCCTGCTGAGCCACAAGGAAACAGGGCCAGAACGCACCAAACTGAGTCTGGACCCACGCATACAGAGAGGGCAGGGCTGAGCTTTCCACTGCTGAAAGCCCCCAGGCAACACAGTGCAGACAGAAGCACCTCAAACAAGCGGCCTGATGCTCACCAGATGCTGAAAAGAGAGGGAGAGCCGAGAGATTGCGTGGGCAATTGCAAAATTCAGGCATGGGAAATTCCCTGCATCTTGCATGGGTGAGTGCTCACAGGTTGCATGTGCTGCTCACACCCTCCTGTTGCTGCCCAGAGCTGTGCTCGCAGATGCTGCAAGGAGGAGAGTGTGTGTGACAGCGGGTGAGTTGGGAGCTGCCTTCAGCTCTGCATCTCCCAAGCTCGCTTCCTGCTTTCTCATTGAGGATGCTCAGCCCACGGACACCGAAGGAAAACTCATCCGAGCCAGGCTCTGTTTCTAGTGCTCTGGAGTCAGTGAGAACCCCTCTTTACCATAGACAAAGTCTATTTTCTCTTTCTGATCACTGCTCACGAGGTCTCTGTACCAGGGAGGTCCATCCTGGGGAGCAGGAGTAGGGAGCTCTGCCAAAACCCCACCTCATACATTGTGTTCAGGCTCCTTCTGCTCTCCTAAAAAGCCAACCTCTTCTCACCATCCTTTAATGCCAGTGGGATAACACTGGGTGAAGGAACTGCCCAGTGGAATCACTGGTGCCAGCTCGGTTTGTACACAAGCTTGCCCACGTCCCCATGCCCCTGGGCATACTCAGGCACCTTGCAGAGCCTGCTCCATCCCTCCAATCTCCTCCTGCACTCCGCTGAGCCCACTGGGCACCATTGGCACACACGTGGCATGAGGTACATTGCCTCCTTTGCTGCCAGGAGTGGAGCAGCAACACCAAACCCTTTGGTGCAAGTGGAGTACTAAGGAGCTGCAAAACCACAGGGAGAAGTTCAGTAAGCAGATTGCAATTACCTGGCTTGGCACCAGCCCAGAATGCCAACACCAGCTGCCTCCCAACAACGGCTCCATGCAGGAGGTGCTGAGAAGCCCAGCAGCACCACACGGCCATGCCCTCGATGAAAGGCACCACCCCCAGCAGGTCTGTGCTTCCCCAGGAGAAAACACTGCTCCAGGAGCTGCTGTGCAGCTCCATGTGTCCCTTGACATGCTCCAGGCAAGGGGCAGCCCCATCCCACTCCCAGGGATGCTGTGCCTGCAGCCCTCTGGGGTGACGCACACACACAGTGTCTTGCTATGGCAATCCTGCTGCTCCCAGATGCTACAGGTTAATTACTGGGACCGCTGAGCTTCCTGGAGACAGCACTGAAGGGAGGGGAAGGGAGAGGAACGCCCAAGAGGAGCAACATCTAGCCCATGAGATGCTAGGAAAGCAGCGCTATGACTTTAGGAAAATGGGCTGCCCTGCAGACCTCTGCTCTGCTGACAGCAAGGCGATGCCTGCGAGACTCGGGCTCTGCCACCTTCTACGGGTGCAGCAGGGCATGGAGATGGGGCCACACGTTGGGGTACAGCCCCAAAGGCAGGGCTGGTGATATCTGCCCTAACCTCCCGGCCCCCTGTACCATGCATCCTGGGCTGGGGCAGCGGGCGATGCTGGGTGACACCAACCAGTCCAACCCCCAGGACAAGGGGGTGAGGTGCTGGGAGATGTCTGAGCACCCACTGTGCCCATGGGGAGGGGGCTCTGCTCTGTGGTTCATCTCAGGTCACTGCCATCCGTACATCCTGTACAGCAGTGCACAGGGAAGGCCCTGCGCTGCCCCAGCGCTCTGTGCAGGCCAGAGGCAGAGATGAGAAGTCCCACGCCTGATTTACTCAACCTGCATGCGTTGCTGAGGTCTGCAGTGTGTGTGTGTGAGAGTGGGTGGGTGCAAGGGGATGCTCAGCACTGTGTCACATCCCAAGGATCCAGTCCCACACCGTGGATTTAGGGGCCAGTATGGGGACATGAGGGCCCGGAGCTCCAGCACCCCATGCTGCCACGGCTAGGACCTCTGCCCGGTGCCCCATCCCTTCCCCTTCCCCCTCCCCACGATCCCGGCCCGTTTCACACAGCCGCACGGCAGAGAGCCCTGGCAGCGCGGCGGGGCCCCGCTCCTACCTTGCAGTCTCTGATGCAGGACCTGACCGAGTACTCGTCCGACTGCAGGTACTTCTCCAGCAAGAGGTCGAACTCCTCGTATTTTTCCTGAGCGTGTTGGTCCAGGCGCTGGTAGGCCTGCACGCAGCTGCTGCACGCCTCCCCGCCCAGCGCGCCCGCCGCCGCCGCCACCAGATCCACCATCAGGTTCTCCACGCTGCAATCCAAGCTGTCCGGGCCTCCCATTTCCCGCAGCAGGTCCCAGATCGTGTAAGTATCACAAAAGGAGAGGTTGAAGTTCCTAAAGTACGCCTGTAAGAAGTTCCTCTTGGAGGAGGGCGAGGAGAAGAGGGCGGTGGCGGGCGGCGAGCGCAGCGGCACGCCGGCGAAGGAGCCCAGCAGGCGCTGCAGGGAGTGCAGCCGGGCGCACGCCGAGTCCAGGTCCGCGCGGGCTGCGGGGCACGGCGCGGGGCCCGGCGCGCGGCTCAGGTTGCCCAGGAACGCCTCGCAGCTGCCGGCGGGCGGCTCCTGCAGCGCTCGGGCCGTTCGGCCCCGCGGCCTCCCCGCGCCGCTCCGCTCCCGCGCGCGCAGCTTGGCCCCGGCGCAGAGCCACAGATGGTCGGAGAGGAGCACGGTGAAGAAGAGGAGGGAGGCCAGCGAGAGGCGCCATTTCTGCGCCCGCTCGGGGTCGGCCACGGGTTTGTCGCTGCGGCGCGGCGCGCAGCACACCGCCCCGCCGCCGGCGCCCCCGCGGGGGTACATCCAGGCGCCGCGGATCATGCCGCGGGGGCGGCGCGGGGGTCCTGCGGCCGCGCTGCCGCCAATGTCACCTGCGGCCGCCGCGCCGCCGCCGCTCCGCCGCCGCCTCCATGCCCGCGCCTACAGGCCGCCGCCGGCCGTGGCATGGTGCGGCGGGAGGAGGAGGAGGAGGAGGAGGAGGAGGAGGCGGCGCCGGCTCGGCCCCGCTCCCGGCTCCGCTCCCGGCCCCGCTCCCGGCCCCAGCCCGCCGCGCGGGGGCATGCCCCTGCCCCGCTCTCACTCGGCTTTCCGCTTCCCCGTGGGCTGCGCCAGCCCGCCGGCCCCTCCGCCGCACCCACCGCCGGGCCCCATTGCCCTCAGTCTGTCGCCATCTTCGGCCGCGCCGCCAACACCTTGAGGAGCCGCGCAGCCCTGCGCCTGCGCGCCCGCGCGGCCCCCCCGCCGCCCGCCGCCCATTCACTGCCCGCCGGCCCCGCGCGGCCCCGCAGCGCCCGGAGCGGCGCCGGCCGGCAGGTGCCGTGGTGCTGAAGGACAGCTCCGCGCCGCCGCTTCCCGCTCGCCCTCCCGGGGCGCCCCGCACGGCCCGGCCGCGGACACGGCTGTGACACGGGCCGAGCGCTGCGCACCCCCTGCCCGCCCTGGGAGGAGCCCATCCCCGAGCGCTGGGTTTCCGGGCAGCGCTGAAGAAGAGTCGAAGCTAACGGGAGAGGGGGGTGGGGTCACTCGCTGCGCCCCCGGCCCTGCCAGCACGCCGTCTGCGGGCTGGTGGAAAGCGAGGCTCGTGCGGCCGGCTATCGGCTTCCCCGGGAACGGAAACGAACGGTGCTGTGCCACGAGCCCCTCTGGCGGAGCCGCTCCCAGACTCCACCGTACACAAACCCATCCTCACCCTCGGGCGCTAACCTGGCTGTGGGAACTGGTTCAAGTGTTCCTATTTATGGGGCTTTCATCAAGCTCTGTCCCCAGATGAACTAACACAGCACGCCCAGCGGCGCCAGCAGCCCTTCAGCAGCGGAGGGGCTGGCGCTGTCCCTGTTCGTTGCAGGGGAGCTGGACCAGGTGACCTTTAAAGGACCCTTCAAACTCCAACGACTCTACGATTCTGCAGTTCTCTGCTGGCTGCCTGGGGTCTCCCGATTGGCTGGGGCAGGTGGGATTCTGCAGGGATGGATGAGCATAGGGCTGCCTCTCACCTGCCCCAAACCCAGCAGCTCAATCCAGGCAAATTCCCTTCTAAAGCTCTGGGTTTTGGGTTTTCCAGCTTCTGCCCCAGCTGCTCTCTTCTTTCTTTCTCTCCTTTCCTCCCCCGGAGGACAACAAGCACTGTGTCAGGAGGGGAACCGAGGAGGAGAAAGCTGCCCCACAGGGCCTCTTGTCACCTGGATCCCAGTGTGCATTAACCATCAGGTCCAGCGTGCCCAGGCTGCGTGTGCTCTTACAGGTAGCTGTGCTCCAGCTGAGGCACTGAGGTGAGAAAATAGCTGGGGAAGAGCCAAGAGAGGTTTTACAGCCGGAACGAGCAAATGGCAAACATCAAGGAGAGTGATGTAGGCAAAGCTGCAGGCCAGGCTGGAGGATGGGCTGTAGCATGAGTGTCTGTGGCACTTGCAGAGCACTACAGAGCCCATGGCACAACTTCCCTCTGACTCTCCCCTCTCCTCCCTTCCTGCTCCTCCAGCTGGGCAGGAGACGCTGGAATAGATGGAATAGTGGAGTCCCTTGAAGGCTATCATACCCCAAGAGATGCTGCTGATAGCAGAGTGCTCCACATACTTGCTTTGGGCACTGTGGCAGTTGGTGGAGCACAGAGGAACATGACCACATATCCCATGCCAGCACTTCTCTCTGCAGGAGACATGGCAAGGGAGAGTCCTGCACCCAGCTGATCCCAGGCTCTGCTAAGGGTCAGCTGGCTGCCCATAAAAGTTCCTCACATTGGGTGCTATTTGGGTCAGCAGAGTGGATGTGTTTTCTGTGTTCAGCTTCTTCCCAGACCAGAGGACTCTGCAGCCCTTTGGACGCTTGAGATGGGTGCATGTGGGCTGAATGCAAGCAGAAGGACAAGCAGCAGGAAGGGCTTCCAGGGGAGGAAAGCCCTGGCAAAGAAACCCAGGTCAGCCCCGATCTTCACATCTCTGCCCAGGCACATCTTGCTCCAGGCTTTGGAGGGAGCTCGCAGCACCTCTCCTTGCTGGGAGCAGTCCTGCTGCAGAGCCTGCTCAGCATCACCGAGCTGAGATAAGGCTGCACAAACACGGCCCTGTTTGATGAAGGGGCCGTTTCCAGGGTGCAGGGCTATTTCCCCTGGGAGTTTCCCCTTGCTGGGAAAACATTAACTGCTCCTCCCAGCCCCTGCTCTTTTATTGCAAAAATAATGGTTTACACACAGCTCTTGTGAGCAAAAGGGTCCGATTGCTCAGCCTTCCTTGGACTTCTCTGCATTTACCAACGATGCTGTTTTCCAAGGGCCAATACCAGCATTTCTCTTACACCAGGCAGAGATGCAAAGGCTCAGTTTTCTTAGCAATCGCCTCTTACTGCGCACAGCCAGTCTGGGTGTGTGTAAGGAGATGGGGTGAAACTTAGAGTGCTGATTTACTGGTTTCTACTACAGGTGCACCAAAGGTACACGGGGCCATGCCTGTAATACAGGGAAACAATTTCTGATTGAAATCAGCTGAATTAGAGATGGCTGTTCTGGGCCCTGAACTGCCAGGAGAACAGCATAAGCCAGGGCATGCCCTAATTTCTGTGAGAGCCCTGGTTTTGTTTGGCCCCAGAGGAGAACTTGGACAGGAGAATCACTGCTGTCCCATTCCTATGGGCAGGGGGGGCTCAGGCTGTGCCACTTGCATACACGTGAAGCCCCACTACTTGAGCCCATTCCTGCACTGCCCCTTGTGCACCCTCCCCAGTTGGTGGGGACACCAGTAGGATGCATGGGAGGCTGTATCTCATGTGAGAAACGCATCTCACCTGGAGCTCTTAGCTGACTGGAGCAGCAGCAGCTGTAACAATCAGCCCTGTTTCTCACCAGCCCATAGGTCTGAGGGTGGCCAAGCTGCAGATGAGGAGTAGGACTGGGGAGGGCTGCGGGGCCCTCTGCTCTCCATGCACCCCACCACCTTGCCAGCTGCCTTGGGCACTTTCCAATTCTTTCTCTGACATTTCTTATCTCCTGATCTGAATGTGTGTGTTTGGTGGCCCTGCTAGGCAGGGGGGTTGGAACTACATGATTCTTGAGGTCCCTTCCAACCCGGGTGATTCTGTGATTCCGTGATTCCTGGAAGAGACCAGCACAAATGCACATTACAAGGGTCCTTACACAAACTCCGGGGTGAGAAATTTGATCCTTGTCCAATTTCGAGTTTCAAACATGCCCCACCACCCTCAGCATCCCTTTGTGTTACTATCTATCCCACCGGGGCAGCCCGGTGCAGCTCCCCCGGCCCAGGCAGGCTGCAGCCCCATGCTGCTCCCAGCTGTGAGCACTGGGAGCGAGGGAGGGGAGCAGGGAGCAGGTTTTACAGCCCACAAAAGCAGATGTTGCTAATTGAGCCTTTGAGCTGCGTGCCAAGCCATGGCATGGAGGCTCTGCCTGGGTTTCAGAACGGCTGCCAGGTCGCTGGCTTTGAAGATGGTGGGGGTGGGAGAGGGGCTGGTGAGGAGGGGCTGTGAATGGAGATCGCGTTCGGCATGCAGGGCTGGGAATGCACATCCCGCGGGGCAGAGCTCCTCGTATCCGGGCCTCGGCCACGGCCGGGCTGCGACAGGGCAAAGCCGTGGTGGTGGAACGCAGGCGGAAGCAGCAGCAGCGCTCCGCTTTCCGGGTCCTTTCTGGGTTCAGCCGAGCGCGCAGCCCAGCAGGGAGGCATCGCCCTTTTCCAAGGCAGCCTCTGCGGAAGCGATGCCGAGCCAGCAGGGAATTCCAGCAGGGATGGCCGCCCCCCCAGCAGGATCGGTGCCCCCCAGCAGGGCGAGGCTCCCGGCCCCGCGCCGCGGATGCCAGGCGGGCACCCAGCGCCCAGCCGAGCGCAGCCCCGCGGGACCCCGTCCCGCTGCTGCCCCCTCGTGGTCGCGCTCCGCCACTGCACAGCGACGTCGCCGGGCATGGGGGAGGCCGGCAGGGCCGGAGGGGTCACCAGGCTCGGTTTTTCTTCCTTCTTCTTCCCAAACAACCCTTCGTCTCTGGGTCTTAGGGGCGGTGCTGCGAGACCCGCCCCGTGCTGAGCCCCAGCCAGCACCGCAGTGAGTAGGGGAGCCCTGGAGAGGCAGCAGCTGCGAGCAATACGAGCTCTGCCAGCTCGCTTTGTGCAATGAAAACACTGTGTCCTGCACCCCCCTGAAGTACCAGAGGTAGAGGATGAACAAAAGCGAAGGTTGAAAAGGTGGGGGCAGAATCAAAAAGGGTGGACGTACCAGAAAAAGAGTGGAGGGTGCAGAAAAATGTACAGGTAAAAAAAATATATGTATATAAAGTGAACGGGTGGCCTGGAAGAGATGAGAGGCTGAAAAAAAGGTTAGAGGCAAAAAAAAAAAAAAAAAAAAAAAAAAAAAAAAAAGTTGTTGGAAAAAAAAAAAATAGGGGGGAGGGTGGAAAAGCAAAAGCAGAGAGGCTGAGAAATGGGGGAGTCCTATAAGAGAGGGGAGGACACAGAAGCGTAGGAGGCTTAAAAGTGTCAGGAGACAGGAAAGAGTGGGGTCCAAATGGGGCTGGGATGCCGGCAGGTAACGAAAGGCTAAAAAAACAAACCCCACAACCATCCCCAACCGTCGACGTTCAGGAAAACCGGGGGCTGAAACGGAGAGGGAGGCTGAGAAGCGGAGGTCGGGCTCCGCAGGGCCGGGTCTGTAATTTCCGTTTCTCTTTCCCCGCCCGGCCCCGCCGTGCCATAGAGCCGAGCGGGCGCTAGAGGACAGCCGAGCTCCACGGAACGGCCGCCAGGAGCCCGCAGCCCCGAGCATCGCCGCTGCCCCGAAGCCGCCTCGCGGGGCTCACGCGTCTCCCAGACCCAGAGGTG